TCACCAGGTAGGGGGACAGGAAGAGACAGAACAGGATAGGGATTAGAAATGAAGGTGATGTGGAAAACAAAGGATATCCATAATTTTTTTTAAAGGAAGTAACACCTGGATTGAACCTCAGGTCCCCCCCTTTTCTTTCCCCTTCTTTTTTGACATTACAGTTTTATTTTTCAAATCAATCACATTATAAGAAATAACGGGGCGGGGTGGCAAAGGATTGCATATTTACACTAAATTCCCTTCAAACTCAACAGGAAGAGTGTCTTCTCATGGAAAGGTTTGTCTCCCATTCGTCGCCAGCCTTGTGCCCGTACCTGCACAGGGCCGAGGTCGAAGCTGGGTGGGCTGGGTGGGCATGGGCAGATCTCTGGGCTGTTCTGGTAACTCAGTGTTACCAGGATTCTTGTTCCCACAGCTGCAGCAGAAAGGCCTTCCAATGCCTTCTCACAATGTCCTTACCCCACAGTTCAATTTGCCTCCAATGTAACAGCCTTATCTGGGTCCAGGCCTTGTCCTCCCCTGTCACTTCCCCACATTCAGTTAAACCACTTGAAGGTGGAAAACATGTCATTCTTCATCTCTGTATGTTCAACCCTGAGCACCGACATCTCAGCTGTTTGCTAAACTGAAAGTCTCATGTGAGTCTGGGTACCATGAGTCATTTTTCCCAGGCCCCTTTTCCCCACCCCAGAAGAAGCTGACCACTGACTACCAATCTAAAAAAACTATGCCCTGGGCCACAGAATCACAAGAACATAACTGGAAGAGACCTTAGGGGGTCATCTAGTCCAACACCTTCATTTTATAGATGACGAAACTGAGGCTTATAGAGATTAAGTGACTTGACTGAGGTAATAAAACCTATATGTTCATGAGACCATAGACTTAAGAAGTGACCTTAGAGGCCATCTGGTCTAATCCTTTCATTACGCAGTTGAGAAAAATGAGACCCAGAAAGGTTAAGTGACTACCTAAGATGACATGGGTAAAAAGAGACAAAGGCAGGAAATGGAGACCAGGTCCTGTTCAAAAGCCTGTTCTCTCTCCACTGGGCCGTGATGCCTACCTCACATCTCCCCCAACTCTGAGATACCATAGGACACCCGAAGACAAAGTCTGAAACAACCTTCGAAAAGGTCATTTCTTATTATAATGTTGACCCCCAACTTCCAGACAGAGGAATATTGCCTCAGTCCCCTCTGCATCTGCCCCTGTGCTCAGTGAGCGAGCTCACATAATAGGCCCTTAATAAACCTGGTAAAGGGAAAAGAAAATTCAGAGAAAATGCTGCCTTCAGAGCTAGAGAGAGAGGAGCACCCTGCAGTGGTGAGTAAAGAGTCAGAGTCAGGAAGAGAGCCTGCTCTCTCTTACTGCCCTGGTCAAGCATCAGCATGGTATAGTGGGAAAATCACTGCCTTGGGAGTCACAGGAGCTGGCTTCAAATCCCATCTCTGATGCCTGTAACCCCAAAAACCTTAGACTAGTCACTTAACTTCCATGGGCCTCAGTTTATTTCATCTATAAAATGAAGGGACTCTGAGGTCTCTTCCCTTCTCAATCTTGAACCCTAGAAATAAGGTAACCTTTCTGCATCACAGGGAAGAGTTTTCTTCACCCAGAGTTCCTATGTGCACTGATGAAATCCTCAGCATCAACCAAATAAATGGCTTTCTTCCCAGCCCCATGAAATGTAGTAAGGGCCATTGGGTCCAGCCCAAAGAGGAGACAGGACAGCTCAAAATCATCAGGGAAGGTGCATGAATGCACTTCCTGGCCATGTCCACCATGCCTCCTAGATGGCCACCACACCCCCCTGCCCCCAGCTCCCCCTCATCTTTCTCCATTAGAATGTAAGCTCAGTGAGGGCAGGGCCTGCCATTCTTGTTTGTATTTGCATCCTCAGCACTTACAACAGTGCCTGGCATATTGTCAGGAACCTCTCAAGTTTAGAAATGGCTCTTTCCCATGCCTTTCTAGCCCTGAGATTGGAGAGAAACTTCAGATCAGGCGTGCCTCCTCCTGACATGAATTCCTGGCCCTGAATGCCGCTCCCTTCCTCCCATCACCCAGGGCCAGAGCCGAAAGGGACCGACTCCAACCCCGAGCTTCATGGGACTCCCTTCTCTGACACCCCCTATTAGCAGTCAACCATCTTCTACCCCAGCAGTGCCAGGGAGAGGGATAAAATGAGTCAACACATGTAAAGCACTCTGCAAACTTTAAAGCACTATAGAAATGAGAGCTATTATTAGTGTTGTTGTTATTTTTACCTCTCATGGAATCCCATTCAGCTTTTGACCAAGTCTAATATGTAGGAAATTTTGAAAATCTGCATCTCTGCAACTTCTTTCCAGTGCTTCCAGGCCCTCTGCCTCAGGCCAGTCAGACCCTTATCGTAGCCTCACTATGTCACGCAGGTGTGGGAGCAGCTGGCCTCGTCAGCTGGATTCTTCTCTGCAGGTTATCCAATCTCAGCTTCCTAAGCAGGGTGCTGTTTTACAGAAAACTGAATTTACACACAACAGCCACACGGTGGCGCTGTGGACACCACGGGCAGTCCTATGGCTACACAGATTGAATAAAGTCCCTGGCCTTACCAGCAGCAGCCACGAGGTGGCGCTGGAGCGAAACAAATTAAAACAAACCTGGGCCTGACTTACAAAGGCCACGGCATGGCGCTATGGCCACATATTTACATCCAGCCTCCCAAACTACCTTATAACTCTCACCCACGCGCACCTGGCTCTCCCTACCCCAGGAGATCTCTGGACATTGCCTTGTGGCCACACCTCCCCTGCAGAGGAGCCAGAAAACACCAGCAGAGGGGGCGGGGCAATGGGGAGCCCTGCAGTTCCTCCCCCCATCACACCCCACCCCCGCCAGGGCCAGGCTGCAATCTGCCCACATGGCTGGCCAAAAGGAAGCACAAGAAGCTAACTGCCAAGGTGGAAATGGAGCGGGGCCGCAGTGACTTCTGGGAAAAGGGCAAGGTCACAGACCAGAGGATTCTGGGAGTGGTAGTAGTCCTGCTGCCTAGGACCTACAGGGACCTCATTCTTGCTTGCAAAGGGTGTCTTTCTCTCCAGTAGCTTAGTGTTCTTACTAAGAAGCACAGGACAGGGAAGAGCATGTGGTTTTTGTAAGGAAGAGCAACACCTCTTAGCTATGTGACCCCAAGCAAGTCACTTGTGTCCAAACCTCAGTTTCCTCATTTGACATAATACTTATAAAGTGCTTAGCACAGTGCCTGGCACATAACTAGGTGCTTAATACATGCTTGCTCCTCTCCCTTCCCCCCCTTCTCATTTGTAAAATATTACAACTTACAACACCTGTAGTACTATATATACCCCACAGAGTTTTTGTGAGCCTCCAAAGCACTTTATACAGGCAAGCTGATGTCAGGAAAGGCAGGGAGAGCAGGGCTCAGAATCAGGGATGTGACTTCTCTGACGCTTAGTAGCTGCATGACCCTGGCCAAGTCACTCAACTTTTCAGCATCCCACTCGCTAAGGCCATTCTCTAAGAATATAATTTGCAGAGTCCATCAGTCAATAAGCATTTCTTAACACCTACTACATGCCAGGAACTGTCTGGAACAAGCTGCCCCGGAAATCATAGGGTTCCCCATGACTGGAAATGGACTGGCAAGGAGATTTCTGCCCAGGAGGTGTGAACTAGATGTTTTCCAGGATTCCTTCCATCAAAGACATTGGATGATTGTGTGTCTTCAGAGATGACAAGGACTTCAGGATTTGGATTTGTGATGGAGGGTGATGGGACCAGCTGTCTGAGCCAGGGTACCCATTCCCTGCTCCCAGGAGAGATTGGAGGCTCATTCAGCAGGAACCAGACTTCCAGCACCATGTCTCAGAATACCCTCCACCCTACTCCAGAGGCCAACAGGAAATGTTCACAGCCTTTTCCCCAAAAGAGCTCAGTCCTGCAACCAGGCTTGAACCTTAGGTAGCCTCTGCTTCAGGGGGGAAGAATGAAGGAGGAAGGTGCACTCTCATGGACAAACTGGAGTCAGGAAGCTGGAGGGAGCCTCAGCTGTATCAGCCCCCAGGAAAGGATCTACTCCCTCCCGTGGAGGTCTCGCCTCCCCTGGAAGCAGAGAATGAACTGCCTGAGTGCCATGAGACACCTGGCTCTGATGTGTTCTCTGTGTGGCCATGGCAGGACTGAACCTGTTTTCTCTTCTGAGAATGAACATCTCAGAGATCCCTTCCAGCTAGAAGTCTATGACCCTAGGAGATGAAGTTTTCTTTCCTCTGGTTGGCAGTTTGCTCATCTTGAAAATGGAGCAGTTTGCAACTGCAGTCCTAGAGAGTTCCCTGAGCATTCGGGAGACATTGCCTGCACTCACATTGCTAGTAAGTGTCCACTTACTAGAGGTGAGATTGAAGCACAGGTCTGGGTTCTAGGTGGCACCAGCCCTCCGTCCAATCCACGAGCGGCCTCTCTCCTAACGCAGAGGCAGCAAGCACTTAATCAATGTTCACTGAACTGAATACTGCTGTGACTGGGAGGGAAGGAGAGGAGCAGTCTCTAGCATCACACACCCAGGACTCCACAGACCCCAAGCGGAACTACCACTCCCAGAATGCACTGAGAGTCTGCCTCAACACTACATTTCCCAGAGGCCTCAGCGGTGCTCTTCCACTTCCAGGCTGGGCCTTTCACCGCTTTCCCTCCTCCAGACTCTAACAACCTTGCGCTCTGGTCAGGGTGGGCCTGGAGGTCAACCCCAGAGGCGCCGGGGGGGACGGTATGGTGAAGATGTAGGTGGGGGTTGGGGGCGGCTCCCCATTGCCCCCTCCCTGCAGGCGCTCCACCCGGGATTTCTGAGCAAATCTGTGAGTCACAGTAGTGCGGCCACACAATGCTGTGTGCTAATCTGTGTGACCCGCAGCGCCACCATGTGGCCCCTGTGTGCATGGTCAGACTCTAGGAATCTAGTGTAACCTATGTGACCTCAGCGCCACCATGTGGCCAGTATGGGTATGTCCTAAGGTTCTACCCTGGCTATGTTGCCAGTGTGTGCTTGAGCTAAGGCTCTCTGCTAACTCACGCGACCACAGCGCCACCGTGTGGCCACTTTATATGGCCTGGGTTTGTATTCTAAGGAACATCTGCAGCATCACCACGTGGCCACTATGTATCGATCCTGGGTCTCCACCTTAAGCTGTCCCAGGTTCCTAGCCTTAGCACTGCTGTGCATATGGCCTGGGTTTGCATCCTAAACTCACTCCAGTGCCACCACATGGCCATTGTCCATTTTCTAACCTGCATACCCTCGATGCCACCATGTGCATGTCCTGCCATTCTAGTCTGACCATCGGGCCACCCTTCAGCTAGTCTGCACACTGTGGTCCATTTTCATCTTTGTTATTACAGCCCTGGCTCATGGCCATTGTAGGCACATCTCTCATCTCTGTTCTCACCTTTCTGACCACAGTACTATTGTGTGACCTTCTTTTCCACGTCCAGGGCCTCTGCCCTAGCCAGTGTGCCTGCAACACCACCCCGTAGCCCGTACATTCCTTAGGAGCCAGCGGGCTCTGTACACCCTTTGAAGCTGCTGGCCTTTCTCCTTGATATCCATTCCTATAATATCAGAGCTGAAGAAACAGAGGTTCCAGCCAAGTTCCCTGATTTTATAGAAGGAAAAAACAAGCTTTGTAGAAGGGAAAGTTTGCCCTTGGCCACACAGGGACAAAGCCAGGACAAAGTCTCCTAACTCTCCCAACCAGGAATCTTTCTGAGACTCCATGCTGCCTTAGCAGGCCAGGATAGACTTTGCCGATTCCAGCCTGAGGCTTTGAAGGGCCTCTTACCTGGAAGACAAATGGGGGTCCCAGAAAAAAGGGTCCAGCTAATGAAAGACATTGCCCTCAACCTTGTTGATTATTATGTAATTAATTTTGTAATTAAGGAATATACACCATGGACAAATGAAAGCAATCATAAAACAAAAGTATAAACTGTTTTGGATATGACACATACCCAGAGTGACCTCAAGCCCACAATGTAATAATACATAACTCTTCTTCACTTGGCTGAAAAGCATCTCATACCACTCAATGCAGTCCAGAATCTGATGAATATCTCTTTAGAATTCTCTTCATGTTTTCATCCAGATAAGACTTTCTTCAAGCTCTCAGGAAACAAACTAGATGTTTAACTTTGTTCTTTTTCAAAAGATCTCATAAAACTCCCTCATCCCATCTCAGCTTCTCATAAAGACTTCACAGAGTTTTCTTTAAAATATACCACACACTTCTGAAAGGGAAGAAATTTCACATCACTCTCTTTCTTCTCCATAGATCCACACACCTCACAGATAGAATACATTTTCTCCCTGATTCCACAAGAAGATACATTGCAAAATAAGATATTTCTCAGATTTATTCCAACTGATAACCATATAAAATGCTTTTCTCAAAATTCCATTGGGCTCTTAATGACAATGATTTCAGGTGTTCAGTCTGGCAATCACAAAGGACATGGCTATTGGGCAAATCCCTTCTCTGGGTTTCAAGTTTCCTCCTATAAATCAATGAGGATCAGACTATTTACCTCTGCAGTGTTTTTCAGCTCTATGGCCTATGACTTTTGATGATTTAGGAGAGAGTGACATTCAAGGATGTGGCTGTGGACTTCACCCAGGAGGAGTGGAGCCTCTTGGACCATCCTCAGAAGGCGTTGTACAAGGGGGTCATGCTGGAGAATGCCTGGAACCTACTATCCCTGGGTAAGGACACTTCCCCTGGTAACTCTGAGTCTGCAAGCAAAGGGGACATCTTCATTCCCTAGTGTGCAGGGTTTGGAGGATCTATCAATTATTAGAGAGAGAAAATATTAGTCTCCTGTGTCCAAGAGACAGACCCCTCATGCTGCCTAGTTTTCCTAGAAGAAATCTTTGCATTCTGTGATAGGAACCAGAGAGTTTCCTTTGTTGCACCTGATGCTGTCTCTTACCAATTCTAGGTAGCTTCAGGTCGGAGATCCAATTGGTGTGGAAGAATCTCAGATGTGCAACTAATCTCAGGGAGTTATTTGGTCTAACCTCTAGCTGGACGTGAATTTTGTCTGCCAAATCCCTGAGAACTGCTCAGGCAGCTTTTCCTTGCAACCCCTTCCTCTTTGGGATGGGCCTAGTATTTGGAATAGTCTTCTATTTGACAAGCAGACATTGGTTGCTCATAGGTCTTGTAGCCAGTGTAGCACATTTGTCCTTCATCTTCCTTCCTATTACCCCAAAATTCCCACAAAGATGGTGGGACACGAAGCGAAGGGAATAGGCATTTATATTCACCAGCTATTTGCCATGTGCCGGGAAAAGTGATTTCTTTACACTATTATGTTACTTTATCTTCACAATAACCTTCGAAGTTGGGTGATATTATCCCCAATTTACAGTTGGAAAACTGAGACAAACAGCTGTTAAGTGACTTGTCCAGAGGTACCCAGCTGGTAACTATCTGAGACAGGATTTAACCTCAGGCAACCCTGACTCCAGGTCCAGGGCTCTCTCTACTGCACCATCAGCTGCCTCTGATTTCTAGACAATGGAAACTACACAATGAGTCTATCCTTCTATGAAGAAGGTGCACAAGATCAAATTCTCTGACTCCAAACAGATTCCATGATTTTTCCCCCACCTCTCACCCAAAGGGGCAAACACTTCCTGAATGAACAGTACACAAGGGTTCTATAGGTCTCAGGAAGTGAGGAGCCAGTACAGGAGGACAGGGCAAAGGGTGATTCATCAAGGTCCCTGGAGCTGGGGCACAATTACCCTTTTACCCAGTTTAGGCGTGAGGAATTTCTGCCAGAACGGAGCATAACAGGATGGGGGGCAGAGGGTTTGGCTGTTTCTCAGAACAGGTTGTACAACACATCCCATTTTGGGTTACTTGCAACACAAACTCTGATGGGTCAGTATGTGACCAGAATGGAGAGATTCTCAAAGTGGAGCAGCTCTGTATCTACACTCTTCTCCCTAAAGTGAACTAAATTACAAGTTTCTCTCCATGCTCATCCCTAACTGACTCCCATGCCCAGGGCTTCCAGTTCCCAGAGAAGATGTGGTCTCTTATTTTGAGCAAAAGGAAGCACCATGGATGCTGGAGCAAGAAAGCCTGAGGAGCTGCTGTCTAGGTGAATGAGGCGAAAGCAAGTATATGAGACCTGTGATTACAAGAGGCTGCTATGTGTTATGGTGAAGCAAGTGCTAGATTTGGGGGCAGGAAGACCTGACTTGGAATTCTTTCTCAGATTTTTTTTTAGCGGTGACTTCCTGGGTCATTCACTGAAAAATGGAGCCTCAGTTTCCCCATTTGTCAAATGAGGCAGTTAGACTCCATAGCCTTTCAGCTCCTTCTAGGGATAAATCTATCATCTTATAAGAAGTCATTATTTGGAATTTGGGGACCTGGAATCTTCTGAAAGTATCAAAAGGGGTTAGGTTCTCCAATATGAGCTCTTTCTTAGACCTTCAAGCCAACAAACATTTATTAAGTGCCTCCTGCATGCCAGACCCTTTGCTAAGCACCAGAGACATAAAGAGATACCAGGACATCCCCGGCTCTCTTGGAACTCACAGTCTGGTGGGGCTGACAACACTCCAACAAGTATGCAGATACCCACTATGGACAGGATAAATTGGAGCAGGTCAAGAGAGGGAAGGCACTAAAGTTAAGAAGGATTGAAAATGATTTATTGTAAAAGAGGGGCTATAGCCAGGGCTTCAGGGAAGCCAGGGCAAGTGTTCTAGGCAAAAAGGGTATTGAGAAAAACCCAGGGAGTCAGGAGGTGGAGTGTCCTGTTCACAGAACAGAAAGGAGGCCCATACCATATAGCATATATGGGGGGAAGTAGGGTGAAAAAAAGACTGGAAAAGCAGGAGAAGGGGAGGTGATGAAGGGCTCTAGCAGCCTGAGGGAGGATTTTATATTGGATCCTTTGCTGGGGAGCCAGAGGAGGTTGTTGAGTGGGTGGTGACATGGTCAGGTGAGAGTTTTAGGACAATGACCTTGACAACTGGGTTGAGGATTGCCTGACTGGAGGGAGAGAGGCAGCCAGATCAACCAGCGGGCACTGAAATATCTGAGGTGTGAGGTGATTAGGGTCTGAATCAAGAAAGTGTCAATGGTGGAAGAGATGTCACACAAGTGGAATCACAGGACTTTGTTCCATATTGAATGTGGGGTCAGGAGTGTGAGTGTGTAAGAGTTGATGAGAAGTGCATGATACTTCATCTCTGAGCCTGGATTATTGGAGGATGCCTGCCATAGCATTGGGAAAGTAGGAAGATTTGAGGATTGGGGCAAAAAGAATGAGTTTCACTTTGGATATGGTAGAAGGAGAACCAGGAGAGAGTTGTGTCACTAAAACTTAGAGAGAAGAGTATCAAGAAAAAGGGGTGATTGACAGTGTCAAAGCCTGCAGACAAGTCAAGAAGAATGAGGTTAAAGAAATGACAATTTGAAGATTATTCGTAATTCTGGAGAAAGAAGGGTCAGTTGAACAATGAAGGTGGGAGCAAGACTACAGAGAGTTTCAAAAAAAGCAAGGGAAAGGAGTTGGAGACACCAGTTGTAAATGGTCATCTCTATCTGTTTAGTTCTAAAAAAGAGGAAATAAATTGGACAGTATCTCATGGGGATGTATGAATCATTGAGGGTGTTTTGAGAGAAATGATTTTATTTGTGTCAACAGGGAAGGAGTCATTAGTGTGGGAGAGAGTGAAAATCAGTGAAAAAATGGATATACTGGGGGAAGAATATAATAGGCTAGATGAGGGATGGAATGGGATTATTTGCACACATAAAGAGATTTGTTTTAGCAAATATAGCAAGCAAGTATCTTCTGATACTGGGGCCAAAAAGGAAATAAGGGCTCTGATTTATGTGAGATAAGGAGAATAAGATAGCTCTTGATAAATGTCCAGTTTTTTCAATGAAGTAAGAGGCCTAGTTCTTAAGTGAGAAGGTGTGGATAGGGTTAGGGGTAGGGTTAGCCGTTAGGGAGGGTTGGGGATGAATGAAAAGATTTGGAAAAGCTACTGTGGTGAGTGGCATGGGGAGTCAGCTTGGTAGATGTCAAAAGATTGCCTTGCCACAATGAGGGTCCAGCTAAGATTAGGTAGCTGAAATTTGTAATGGACCCAGGTGGCCTGATTTCATGATTTTCTCTCTCTCATCCAGGAGCACATGAGTTGGAGTGAAGGCTGCTGTCTTACTTAGAAGTCGTGTGAGGCTGAGCTATACATAAATCATTAGCCCAAGTCCCTTTCCTGATCTCTATGGCTCAATCTCTGTCTGATTCTTGGAGACTCATTGACCAAGTTCATGTAGTGACTATGACCTCAGTTTAGGGAGCTGGGAGGTAGAGACTTGAAGGTGTCCCATGGTATAAGACCCTTCAGGAGCCTAAAAGGGAGCATCTGTGATCTTCAATGTTGGGTCTGGTCAGGTTCCATCAGAGTTAGAACCTAATGCAAGAAAGAGACAGAACTATGACTGAAGCCAGAACATGCGTTTGATAATTCAGAGAGAGGCCAGAATGCAGGGATTGAAGTAGAGGTTAGGGTCTGCTGTCAGCCCTCTGCCCAGTCAAGCAATCAATAAACACTGATTAAGCACCTTGTGTTTTAAGCACTGTGCTAAGCTCTAAGGGTACAAAGAAAGGTAAAAGAAAGTCTCTGCTATCAGGGAGCTCCCAACATAGTAAACATACATGGAGATAGAGAAGAAGAACAGAAGATGAACCTTACTCTTAATTGATCTACTTGAAAAGAGATTGTTTTTGAATGGAAATACATTTAGTTCAACAGAGAAATGACAAGGAGTGAGGATAATAACAATCCAAGAAGGAGAACACAATTGGGGGGAAATCATCTAAATCAAAATCATGATTAAAATAATAGCTAGCATGTATAGTCATATGAAAAAATATTCTAAATCAATATTGATCAGAGAAACACACATTAAAACACCTTGGAAGTACTACCTCACACCAATCAGAGTGGCTAATATCACCAAAAAGGAAAATGTTGGATATTGGAGGGGATGTGGGAAAACTGGGACATCAATGCACTGTTGGTGGAGTTGTGAACTGATTCAATCATTCTGGAGAGCAATTTGGAACTATGTTCAAAAGGCTATAAAACTGTGCATACCCTTTCGTCCAGCAATGCCACTTCTAGGTAGACATCCAAAAAAAGGGACAAGCACCTATTTGTATAAAAATATTTATAGCAGCTCTTTTTGTGGGGGCAAAAAATTAGAAAGTGAAGTGATGCACATCAATTGGGGAATGGCTAAACAAGCAGTGATATATGATTTTACTGGAATACTATTGTGCTGTAAGATATGACAAGCAGGATGATTTTAGAAAATCCTGGAAAGACTTACATGAATTGATGCATAATGAAGTGAACAGAACCAGAACATGGTACATCATAAGAGTAATATTGTTTCATGAGGAATTATGAATGACTTAGCTTTTCTCAACAATGCAATGATCTAAGACAATCCCAAATGATGAAAATTCATTGTTTTTAGCTCCCTAACCAGTAAATACAATGAACTGATGGTTATTATATAAAAGATTTATTTTTCTCCTGGCTCATGACAAGTAGTGTGTCCTATGATATAAGACTATGATAATGTACAATGATAAATGTATTTGGAAGTTAATTGCACAGAATGTATCTTTTTTTAAACAATGTTTGTATTTAAAATCAATGTTGAAAGGATAGTATTTCTTCAGACATAGCTTTCTTTTTTCTGCCAATGAAAAACCAGGCACGTTTTCATTGAAACTACTGAATGACTAATCTGTGTTGCCAAACAGTTCATTTGAGAAGCTGACAGGGAGGCAAATAATAACATAAGTAGAGGATAGGTTCAAATCTGAGAACAATCTTAGCATTGCAATGAGGGGTTCTTTATGGTCTGTTTTTGTAGAACATTTGTAGGGGTCCATGATGGCTTCAATGTGGCCTGTACTGTACATGCAGAGCAATCATGGTTCCAAAGAGCCTGTTATCTCTGCTGCAAGAATGCAAACCCCTGTAACATCTTGATCTGGTGATTACAGCTTTGAGGAGATGTGATTACAAGGTAACCCAGGAATGAGAGGGCTATTGTGGTGCAGTTCCAAAGAGCCATTGAGGGTCTGTGCATGCTTGTGACCATTTGCACATGAATGTCCAACGTTTCTGGAAGTTTGGAAATAATTTGATGTTGAGAAATGGAAAAAACATGTTACAATAGTCAGAAGCAGTCAGAGTGTGATGTTCTTATTGTAAGAACCCCAAAAGCATTACATGCCTGACCATAATGATGTGGAATCACTGCAAAAAGAATTCTATTATCATTGAAATTTGTGCAAGCTTGTTGTCCCAGAGCATAAATATCTTAGCAACAAAAGTGGATGATTACTTAATACTTAAGGTGACATTAACAAATTTTTAGTTAATCCTTTGGACAGCTGTATAGAACCTCCAATGGGGTTTGTGAAACCATAAATGGGAAAGAGCTTCCAGAAGACTAATAATGAAGCATGCTGTCCACTTCTTTTCTGTGTGTGTGATGTGTTCATTTTATTTAATAATATCCATACCATGTTATTACCATGGAATGTCAATTCATTTTAAACATTAGAATTCCACAAGTGTAACAAAGCATTACTTAAATATGTCAACATTTGCATTAGGAGAATGCGCCCATAATATGATAAACCATCAGATCTAAAGGACAGTAATGTATTTTTCAATTGGACATGACTCTTAGAGAGAAAACACAATACTGCACACATTTTAAGTCTCTTTACTGCTGAACAAGCAGTTCAAATACACATAAAACAGATGGCATTTAAAAAACAATTTCAATATGGTAGCAGCAAAAATACAACTAAGCCATACCACTTGTTATTATCTTTTACTAACTTCATAATAAATACTACTGTGTTAGGTAGCCTGGTTAACAACTATTCAAGGCTCATCTTAAATATAAAGAAGAATATTCTTGCTACAATATTTTATTTCATGTTTTTCTTACAGATGTTCTTTTGGTCCTAGTCAAAGCCAGGCAGCCCTAGACACTGAAGTTTCCATCATTCTACAAGATGAGGAAGTGTTTCCTAAATTGTGTTAAAGCAGCTTCCCATATTATATCCCCAAATATTTCCTGTCTTAAAGCAATAGGAGCTATGTCTTGGCCCTCTGATTTTTCAATCATTAATTTTTGAGATTTGAGGAATATGAATATAATTTATCCCAAGTAAGCTTCAGTGACCAGTTCCTTTTGTGCTAACTTAGCTCTCCTAATTCACTCTCTGATACTAATCAGTATACCTTGAATCACCTGGGAAACTCAAACTTCCATGAAAAAAAATCCCATCTTTAAAATATCATGATTGCTTGTCTCTGACGTGTGCTGCTTTTTAGAACCACATATCCCTAAATGATTTATTTTTAAACATAAACAGATGACCTCAATGTGAGGTATCTAACTCTAAAACATCAGCATGAAGACAGCATCTTTCCTCCTAAGGTTTGGGTTTTACCCAGTATTCCCGATACATGGAGTACAATATACCAACAGTCATTGCTCCTACTACGAAACCTTGGGCTCCCACACTCGTGTGAATCAGGTGGACAGACATTTTAGTGTCCCCTCTACTCCTCAGTTTGTATAATCCATATGCAACAATAGCTGCAAAGCCTGCCATTCCAATTGGGACAAATGGTGCCTCTTTAGCTTTTTGAGCAAGTTTTGATCTCAAAGTCTCATCATAAATGGAGAGGGAAGCATCATTGTCTGCTGACATTGTAGCTGGTTGAAGAACCTTCAGAACAAGATGAAGCAAAACCACCTTCCACAAGCAGCCAGTCACTTCAGCTTCACCTCCAACCTTCCCCATCTACGTCACCTGTCCACTTCTTTACAAAAGGATGATAGACTCAAATTCATGTATGAGATACATATTTTCAGACATGGGAAAGACCATATGTTTTAAAAATTGCATTTATTATGAGAATTTTTTTTAGTACAAACATTTTATTTTTTAATATGTTTTATTTTCTCCTATTAGACATTAAAACTTTTCAAACATTTGTTTAGATTTCAAATTCCAAATTCTTTCCATCTTTCCCCTCTCCTCTCCCTGAAATGGTAAGCAATCTGATATAGGTTATACATGTGCAATCATTATTACAAGGATTTCATTTTTATTTTAGTGAGCCCAGGCACTTAAAGACAATTTAAAAAAAAAATAAGTAATGGCTAGCCCAAAACATTAATAGGCCAAGGGGCAGCGAGGTGGTACAGTTGATAGAGTGCCGGCCTTGGAATCAGGAGGACCTGAGTTCAAATTTGGCCTGAGACACTTGACATTTACCAGCTGTATGACCCTGGACAAGTCCAGTTGCCTCACAAATAAAATTTGTTAAAGGCCAGAATGAAATCTTTTATGCTTTAGATAAACACAAAAAACAGTACTGGTATTCTTCATATGACCTCAAATACTGCAAGAGAAAGGAATAAGATTGAAAGCTATTACTAGAGAAATTACATAATACTTCCAGACATGAAAGATTATGAAATAATTTGAATATTTAGTATATGTGCACCAAATGGCATATATCTAGGGAAAAAAATTTGAAAGTACAGATGATGAAAAGGAAAGATTGAAAGTGGAAACAGTCTGTCTAGTACTATGGACAGAGCATGCTAAGTCATGGGTTTGAGTTCTCGTCTCTGTCTCTGGGATTTCAGTCAGTTCACTCAGCCATTCTGAACTTGTGGCCTGAGTTGTGAAAGTGATAATAATGCTCTGCCTCTGTCACAGGTTTGTTGTGAGGATCCGATGTAATTGTGTGCAAAGCTCTTTGTAAATTAAATCATCCTTGGGATGTGAGCTAATGGCATTTTGATACAATTTGTTCTGCTAATTTGAAGACTTGAAGTTTGAAGACTTTTCTCTTTACCTGGGGAAAGAGAATATAAAGGAATTTATGTTCTGCCAATGGAGGGAAGGGGAAATAATTACACATTTTATTGCTTGTTTCTTTCAGAAGGAGACATGAGACTGGAAGTGAAGGAGACTATGGCAGAGCTAAGTCTTTCTGTGGAAGAAATTCAGGAGCAAAGATCCATGGATGATGGTCCCTGTGACATCACTTGGGGAGAATTCTGTGCTCTACATCAGAGAATCCACACTGGAGAGAAACTTTATGAATGTAATCAGTGTGGAAAGGCTTTCACAAACAGGGCAAGTCTGGATCAACATCAGAGAATCCACACTGGAGAGAAATCTTATAAATGTGATCAAAGTGGAAAGGCTTTTACCCAGAGGTCTTATCTCAGTGTACATCAGAAAATCCACACTGGTGAGAAATCTTATGAATGTAATCAGTGTGGAAAGACTTTCTGAGGCAGCTCCAGTCTTGCTCAACATCAAAGAATTCACGCTGGAGAAAAATCTTATGAATGTAATCAGTGTGGAAAATCTTTCTTACAGAGGGCTCATCTTGCTAAACATCAGAGAATCCATACTGAAGAGAAACCTTATGAATGTAATCAGTGTGGAAAGGCTTTTACACTGAGATGTTGTCTTGCTGAACATCAGAGAATCCACACTGGGGAGAAACTTTATGACTGCAATCAGTGTGGAAAAGCTTTCACAGGCAACTCAAATCTTGCTAAACATCAGAGAATCCACACAGGGGTGAAACCTTATGAATGTAATCAGTGTGAAAAATCTTTCCTACTAAGGGCTAATCTTGCTTTACATAAAAGAATCCACACTGGCGAGAAACCTTATGAATGTAATCAATGTGGAAAGGCTTTTACTCAGAAGGGCAGTCTTATTGTACATCAGAGAAGTCACACGGGAGAGAAACCATATGAATGTAATCAGTGTGGAAAATCTTTCCAACTGAGAGCTACTCTTGCTTTACATAAAAGAATCCATACTGATGAGAAACCTTATGAATGTAATCAATGTGGAAAGACTTTCAGAGGTGGCTCCAGTCTTGCTGAACATCAGAGAATCCACACAGGAGAAAAACCTTATGAATGTAATCAGTGTGGAAAATCATTCCCACTGAAGGCTAATCTTACTTTACATAAAAGAATCCACACTTGTGAGAAACCTTATGAATGTAATCATTGTGGAAAGGCTTTTAGAGACAATTCCACTCTTGCTAGACATCAGAGAAGCCATACTGGAGAGAAGTCTTATGAATGTAATCAATGTGGAAAGGCTTTTAGAGACAGTGCCACTCTTGCCAGACATCAGAGAATTCACACTGGAGAGAAACCTTATGAATGTAATCAATGTGGAAAGGCTTTTACAGTCAGGGGCAGTCTTACTGAACATTGGAAAAGCCACACTGGAGAGAAACCTTATGAATGCAATCAGTGTGGAAAGGCTTTTACACAGAGGTCCTCTCTTAGAGTACACCAAATAATTCACACTGGAGAGAAACCTTATGAATGTAATCAGTGTGGAAAATCTTTCTTAATGAGGGCTAGTCTTGCTTTACATAAAAGAATCCATACTGGTGAGAAACCTTATGAATGTAATCAATGTGGAAAAGCTTTTACACAGAGGTCCAATCTTAGAGTACATCAGAGAAGCCACACTGGAGAGAAACCTTATGAATGTAATCAGTGTGGAAAAGCTTTTACACAGAGGTCGAATCTTAGAGTACATCAGAGAAGCCACACTGGAGAGAAACCTTATGAGTGTAATCAGTGCAGAAAGGCTTTTGTACATAGATGTCATCTTGTTGAACATCAGAGAATCCACACTGGGGAGAAACCTTATGAATGTAATCAGTGCGGAAAGGCTTTTGCACATAGATGTAAACTTGTTGAACATCAGAGAATTCACACTGGAGAGAAACTTTATGAATGTAATCAATGTAGAAAGGCTTTTACACAGGGAACTGCTCTTAGAGTACATCAGAAAATCCACAATGCAGAGAAACCTTATGAATGTAATCGGTGTGGAATGGCTTTCAGATTTAGCTCTTGTTAAACATCAGAGAATCCACACTGGAGAGAATGCAATCCATGTGGTAAAGCCTTCAGGCAAAAGTCGGCTCTCCTTTCACATCAGAGAATTCATACAAGATATAAAACTTATTGTGGAAAGGCATGTAAATGGAGTACAGAGGTTCTAAGACAGCACAAAATTCGGGGTACAAGTCATTTATGGACTCAATGTGAGAAGGCCTTCAGCCAGAGATCATCTCTTATCCTTATCAGAAGATTCATACTAAGAAGAAACCTTATGAATGTGCTCCATGAGGACATGCCTTTCTCTGGAACATGGAGGTTAGTGGTAAAGGTTATATTTTGTGTCTGACTGTAACAGAATGATGAAATAATGGGAAATAATTCATGTCGTCACACCAGGTTGCAAAACTAAAACGGGAGGAAATAGGCTCATAAACTATAGCACTGCATGAAAGAAGACATCTGGATGTTCTCTGAAACAGAAGGTCTTCAGAATAAGGAAAGGAACTTGCATCAATATCATGTCAACTGGGGAACAATGTTTGGTGAAGGGAAGAAATCAGAGGTGTTTGATCAAGGGTATAAACACTAGGACAATTTGGAGGAATTTTGTGGTCTCCTGCAGGCCACCGACATGCATGTATCAGCCTATGTTCAGGCTACTGCACAGGACAGTCAGGAAACTTCTCATTGACTTGAGATTGTTTTTGCCTCCTGGTTTTTGTGAGCCGACAATCATGGTGATGAGGAAGGGCTTCCCTGGATGCACGTGAGGCAGAGCAGAACCGTCATGTGGAGAAGCAGCCACTCCCAGGCAGGTAAGAGGTCCTGCGATTTCTATCTAACCAGCCTTCCATGGTTGCTGCTGCTCCGCCATCCTGGCAGGGGAAATGAGAGGAGCTACCAACCCTGTAAGAGGCGTCTGGGCTGATTGTCACATACAATCCAGGGACCTGGGCAGTCTGAGGGACCTTCTGGGATTCCTCTACAGGAGATGGTGTTGCGCCTTGCTAAATCTAAAGACACTGTTTCCTGTGGCCAGATCAGCCAAAGGAAAAAGGGCGTAGAGAGAATGAAAGTTTTTCTGGGGAACTTGCAAAGCCTTCAAAAAGACAGTCTCTCCTGCTGTTTTTCTAACTCCTGTCAAATTTGGTAGGCAAACAAGAGACACACAAGAGGGCAACAATTTTTTTTCAGCCTGCAGCAATTTATAGTATCATAAACTAAGTAAAGACTAAATGTATGACTTTAAGAAGGGGGGAGGAGCCAAGATGGCCCAGTAAGGGCAGAAACTCACCAGAACTCTCCCAAATCCCCCTCCAAACAACTTTAAATAATGCTTTGAATCAAATGCTTGAGTAGAAGAACCAAGAAAAAGTCAGCATAAGACAATTTTCCAAAACAAGATAACTCAGGAGGTCACAGGAAAATTGATGGTGGTTAGGCCTGGAGAACACTGTGGTGAAGGCCACTCCTCACCAGGGCAACAGCTGCAGCTTAGAGAGCTCTCAGTTCATAGACAGTAAAGGGGTCAGACAACTAGTCAGAAGGAAATGATAAGGAACCCTTTGCTGGCACTGGGCACAGGACCATCTTGTATTGCACACACACAGTTTCACATCACAATATCAAGGTAAAGGGAAGAGGGAAGGAGAAAATTTGGAACTCAAAATTTAAAAAAATAAAAGTTTAAAATATTGGTCTTGTATGTAATTTGAAAAAATTAAAATATAAAACATGAGTTTAAGTCCCAATCCTAAAGAAGGGTTATGCTGAAGGATGTTTAAATTTCCAAACAATGCACTCATTTCACACTCCAGCAAAGTTATGCTTAAGATTCTGCAAGCTAGACTTCAGCTCCATGTGATCCAGCAATGAGCAGAAGTGCAAGCTGGTTCTCAAAGAGGCAGAGGAACAAGAGAGCAAATTGCCAACCTTTGCTGGGTTAGGAAGAAAGCATGGGAATTCCAGAGAGAAACATCCACTTCTGTTTCATTGACTGTGTGGATCACAACAGAATGCAGGCAGTTCTCCAAGAGATGGGACTCCTAGATCATCTTACTTTTCTCCTGAGGAACGTATATGCAGGTCAAGCAGCAGGTTAGAAGTGAACGTGAAACAACTGACTGCTTCAAGATTGAGGAAGGGGTACAACAAAGCTGTCTGTGGCCACCTTATTTATTTCACATATGCAGAGTACATCAGGTTAAATGCTGGTCTGGACAAATCAAAAGACAGAACTGAGATTGCTGGGAGAAATGTCACCAGTGTCGGGGCAGTTAGGTGGTGCAGTGGATAGAGCACTGGCTCTGAAATCAAGAGGACTTGAATTCAAATCTGACCTCAGACACTTACAAGCTGTGTGACCCTGGGCCAGTCAGTTGACCCTGATTGGCTTAATGTCAGATATGCAGATGATTGCACTCTGATGGCAGAAAGTGAAGAAGTTCTAAGAAACTTCTTGAGAAGGGTAAAAGGAGAGTGTTAAAGCTAGCTCGAAGCTTAACATTAAAAAAAAAAAACTAAAATCATGGCGACTGGTCCCATTACCTTCTGGCAGATAGAGGGAGAAGAAATGGAGCTTATATTCTTGGGCTCAGAGATCACTGTAAATGGCAACTGCAGCCTTAGAATTAAAAGATGCTTGCTCCTTGGCAGGCAAGCTATGGCTAATCTGGAAAGCAGACTGAAAAGCAGAGCCATCACCTTGCCCGATAAAGGTAAGTTTAGTCCAAGCCGCTGTTTTTCCAGTAGCTATGTGTGGCTGTGAGAGTTGGAACGTAAGGAAAGCTGATTGCCACAGAATTGGCCCTTTCAAACTGTGATGCTGGAGAAGATTTTTGAGAGTCCCTTGGACTGCAAGGAGATCAAATCCAAATAATTCATGCTATTCAGTAGAAGGTCAAATACTGAAACTGAAACTTTGGCCACATGATGAGAAGACAGGACTCACTGGAAAGATCCTGATGTTGTAAATGATGAAAGGAAGAGAGAAGAGGTGGCAGAGGATGAGGCGGACAGTGTCATGGAAGCAACGAGCATGAGCTTGGAAAAACTTGGGGAGATAGTGAAGGATGGAAAGGCCTGGCGTGCTGTGGAACATGGGATCACAAAGAGTCAGAGGTGACAGCGACTGAGCATCAAAAACAATCCTATCACCTTCTAGGAATCATTCTTTAATTAGCAACATTCGTACACAGTGGGTCCCTAAATATCCCAATATATGGAAAATTAGAAGATGATAGCAAAATGATTTTATGGATTTAAAATATGAGATAAAATTGTTGGCAGTCTAATGACACCAATTCAATTTAATGCATTTCCAAATCATCTTAAATAGAAAATCACTTTATGCATTTCTCAATTTGACGCTGTGGGCTGGTTGCATTCACAGACCAGTGTAGCATAATTTTGGTCCGATTACACTTTTATTTCTTATTACAATTTCTGGACATCACCTTCATATCAAATTTTATGCATATTTTGCATTAAAATCTGACCTACGGTGAGAAGTCATTCATTTGGATACCTCCTCTATTTCAGTCAGTATTAATCAGTTTGATATTCTACATAAATTATATGGGGATAGCTTGGTTCTTGTAGTGGACCTCAAACTTTAATGTCCACTCCTTGTTTACCAAGGCTCACTTGTGCAGCCGTAAGATGCTGACAAAGATATCTCCATCCTGTTTTACTCAATTTCCATGTCCAAAACCAGCATGGGTGGCTCTGCTTGGTGCTTTAGAAAGTTCCCCAAGTCATTTTTGTATCTCTGGACCATTCTCTCTTGTCCAGCCAGTATAAGTGACTATCTTATGACCACTCAGTCAGTGGAGATGTCCCAGGCTTCATCCAACCTGTGCTCCCCATTTGTCATTTTTGGCCCTGAAGAGCAACATTTATCAGCCCATGGGGTGCTGTATTTTGCCATGCTTCTTTTGCATATTTGGGTATCAACCCCTAAAAAACAAAGTACTGGAAGAAGGGAGAGCCTCAGACTGTGAGGAAGATCTGAGGTCCACTTCATTAGAGGCGACCAGGAAATCTTTAATAAAGTGTATTGTCTCAGAGCTCTGCCTCAGTCTCTTTTATTCTAGTTGGACAATTTTAATCCCCAAACTAAGGTCAAACATCATAATTACCCTAATAGAAAAACACATGTGAGGGGCAGCTAGGTGGTGCAGTGGATAGAACACTGGCCCTGAAGTAGGGAGGACCTGAGTTCAAATCTGGCCTCAGACCAAACACTTGACACTTACTAGCTGTGTGACCCTGGGCGAGTCACTTAGCCCCAAATTGCCTAAAAAGAAAAAAAAAAGAAAAACACATGTGACTTTAAATGATGTCCCATTAGAATTTAGTTTCGGACAAACTCAATCCCATCAACTGGATTTACATTTGTTAAAGTGCCCCTGAGATTAATATGTCTGTTTTCTATGAGCTAACCTCACCAGCCGGGTGCACTGGGACACAGAGTGAGCCTATTTGCCAAAAGGTGCCAAACAGGAGCCTGCAGTAGCCAGGCTTGCTCACTCCCAGATGCCGTTCCTGGTGTTCTCTCACTGACCTTGCTAAACTGTGATCACCCAAAGTGGCCCAAACCAGCCTAGTGGTCAATTGTTCCTGCAAAACATCCTGTTTCTGCGCCTTACCTGTTCCTGGTAAAGACTGTACACTCTTTACTTCTCCCAGGACCTCCCCTTTGTGATTTTCAAACATAAATTGCCCCTGCCACTCCTAGGCTGGAGGCTCTGTGGAAATGGAATGATAACAAGTTAACTAATCACTATGATTTGCTTGAGCTCTCTCATTATCCAAGAGAGGCTAAAATAATCAGGGAATCAAATCAGCCAATCAGGAAGTGGAATGAGTGTTGCTCAAGTTTGACATACCATTGATCCTTTGCAGTTTCCAGGGGTGAGTCTGAAACACATCTACTGTGCCAGCAACCACGGGGCTGGCTCAAACTGGTTCATACTGACCCCAAATGGACAGAGCTTGCACAAACGTAGTGGTCCC